CAACAATCACGACAACAGCTCTTCGTCGGTAACGGGGATCTGTTTCCAGTCTGTGACGTCACGACAGCGGCGGCCCTGGCCAGACAAGACAGTCGTGCGATGGGGTGGTCGGCAGCTGGCGAGGCCCGACATTCACGGCCACAACTCCTTGCTGGTGACTGAGACATATTTCCAGTTTGTTAGGCCACGGCAGCGTCTCTGTCCGAATATGACGGCCCAACGATGGCGCGGGGGGCCGGCTGCAGCTGACGTTGTGTGTGTGTGTTTGTGTGTGTTTGTAATGACATAATTTTCCTTTTTTTTTAATATTGTTTTATTTCTTGGGTGTTGGGGCTTTGTGATGAGTATTAGACAATTTGTAGGGGGTTTTGTGCAAATTTAGAATTTGTGTTAGATTGTATTTTAATAGTAGGATGTTTTTGTAATTTATTAAAAGTTCAATATATTGCACATTAACAATACATGATAGCATTGTATTGTGAATTTACAAACACATTATAAAAATCGTTACATTTTTTACAAAATTATATAATTCTTAATTGGTCGGATTATCGGTCGGGTTGGTTTAATCGACCGAGAGGATGTCGAAACCGGAATGATATAAGTAAAAATTATTGTTATTATAAAAACATATTTATTATTGTAATATTTTTTATTGAATAATTTCTATTATATGTTTTTATTAAAAATGTAATATTTTATATAAACAAAATATAATGTTCAATCTAACAACTATTGATATGCGGGTCTTCTAACATAATGGTGCATGATATCAATCAATGTTGTGCATATTGGTTCGAACGAACTTTTGTCCCAAATTAAATTGAAATTGAACCGAATTGGTTGATTTATTCGGTTGGTCATCTTAATTATAATAGATAACCGAAATAATTTATTATTTATATTAAAATCATATTTAGTATGTTATTATTTTTATTTATTATTTTTATATTATTTTTATTAAAAAATATAATGTACGAAATAACGTTCTCGATAAATTGCAAGAACCAATCTCGATAAAGTGCAAGCACACATACATAGATGTGTATCTAGTATAACGTTATTGTGCACTCGCATTGCTGTCACGTTTAATAAATTGTCCCAAACCATGTCATGTTTAATTATCTGTCCCTGGCCCAGAATAAAATCAAACAAAAAATTATCTGGTTATTTGTACAGTTAACCGAATAAAATAAAACAAACGAAATGAATTATTATTTATGTAAATATATTGACTATTTTATTATTTTTTTAATATTTATATTAATTTATTTATTGATAAATATATGATATATATATAAAAATGTAAAAAATTATAACTTTTTATATAGTTCGTTCGAATTATTACTTTTAAAGACAAAGTTGACATCTAACCGATAATTAAAGTTTAAAACTAAAAATAAATAATATAATCGACATATAAAAATCGGACCGAAAATAGTTCGGTCAGTTTTTGTGGCTATGTTGCAATCTATAAATCATTAATGTGTAGTTCGTATAAAACTATTGTGCTATCACATGGAATTTATATTTAATGTGATTGAATACAATATATTGTGCATTGTTTTATAATTTTATATTAAACTTTCTATAAATTACAGATTTGGTACATGTATCAAAATGAAATATAATAAAAATTCATTAAATTGCAACCAAGTCCTTTAAAATTATCTAATTCTAAAAAATATCCTTGATCCAAAATGTTTCATCTTCTACTCTACCATATGTCTGCTCCGGAAGCCCCCCTGGCCGGCGACGTCTGGTGTTGATGCATAAGGTGACCTTGTTGCCTTCCTCCATGTATACTCTCCCGTCGTGCCATCAGGGCCGATGAGGAGAATTTTATATATTTGTTTTTAAAAAAATGCCATTGCGGCCGAGCTTGGACACATATTTTCAAGTGTCGGCGACCGATGTACCCAGGGGCGTAGCCAGAAACCAAAAGTACCCTGGGCTAACTATCTATCAAGTTATAGCTCGATTCGTTTAATAAAATGAGTATGTTGAATGACGAGTCAACCTCAAACCCTAACAAGCCAAGCTAATTCGAGTGTTCATGAAATTACTTAAAACCTCAAAATTATTGAGCCTTGTTGGAAATGGTGAATTCATTGATACAGAACTCGAAAAGAAAGCTCATGGATATCCGAAAAAAACTAGAAGATAATTCTTATTAATTGCTTACAGTTGCTGAGGGCAAAGAGGCTATATAAAGCCTGTACAAACAGAAACCCTAAAAACTGGAACTACTAATAAGGGGGCACGTGTACATGGATATGTGCAGCAGATGCAAAACAATAAATTCAGAAACTAGACATGCTCAAAGTGTGATGGCTCGTTTATTATGTTTATCAAGCCTTATTGGGTCGATAAAGTCACCCAGTCATGAAGTTCGAGCACGGTTCGATTATCGATATTAACGACTTGTGCTCGAGCCTTAATTAGTCAAACTCTGAAGTTTCTTGTATCATTTAATAGCTCTAAGAACGAAAGTATGGTTTAATTAAGAATGACATATACAATATTCCATGTTAACTACAAATATTCTAAAAATGAATCAGTCTTAAGTAACAATTTCGTGCTTTTTCCGTCTCTACTAATCGCCAAAACAAATCATAAATGATAGAAATATTCTCGCATAGTAAAATAATTGAAATACGACATCTCATCAATATTAAGGTAATAATAATTCAAAGGAAATTCAATTGTTGCTAAAAAAAATATGATAATAATAACTCAAAAGAAAATTCAATCTTATAGAAATTAACAATATATTTTACAAAAGATCGATTAGGGCCGTGGTCCTCGTGGACGGAAATATTCCATCAAGAATTTTGATTTTTAAACCATAATAATGCATGTTTTATGTGTATGGAAGAGAGAAGATTTTATTGACAAAGTAAAAATAAATACAATAAACTCATGCATCTCATACATTATTCAATCAAGACAAGAGATTTTTTTTTTAAGGTGAATAAAACAATTAGAAACTCAAGCGACTAGAATCATATACAATTAAAGAAAAGCATAAAATAAAACCAATAATTATTTGCATTATGCAGATTTTTATTGCTTCTTATTTTTAGTTATTTTAAAAATTAATTATTGAATGTGGCTAGTCCTTGTTCAAAAATTGTTGGTTTGCCTTTAGTTGCTTAAAGAAATGTACTCGGTAATGGTGAAGGTAAAAATGAGAAAAAACTAATGAGAGAAGTCAAAAGAATTTTAGGAAAATTGTTACATTTATTNNNATGCCTTGGCGAATTTTCCAGCAATAGTGAAACTGTTGGTTGGGCGTGGAGCCTGTAAATATTGTTGCCTTGTTTGTTTGCTTGATGCTATCTGTGTGCGTTGCTTGTTGGTGTATTGCTTAAAACACTATTTCGACTTTGTATTATTAAGTTGTGCGTTTAGTGTGAAGGTGAAAAGCTGACTGGTTAGTGAAAAAACCAGGCCGCATAGGGTGCGAAAATATATATATATATATATATTTGTGTGTGTGTGTGGATTGGTTCCAATGAGGATACATTCTTAATATGTGTGACCAAGATTTAACTATTTATTTGAATAATAATTCTTCATTTTTTATTATGTAATTCTTTATTTTTTTATTTTAATTATTTAATATTTATTTTGACTGTTGACTCCGGCATTGACCTTTGACTTTTGGCGAATATTAGCTTACAAGTCAATATTAACTTTGACGTAAATTGAATATTAAATTATTTGTAGTTTAATAAATTACTCAACTACTTATATTTTATGATTTGGATAGTTTATACAAAATAAATTTATTTTATTTAATGAAACAATATAAGTTTTATAATTATACTTATTATTCACATAGATTTTTAAATATATGATAAAATTTTACTAAAATAATTATTTATGAAATCACATAGTAGTCCAATCGATTTTATGAATAAAAATTTTAAAATGACACTTGTTTTGAATGAATATAATGTAATTTATTATCAGTGACGTGTATGTGTACTAATTTTAAATATTTTATGTAATTTTATACAATTTAAATGTCATATAACATTTTCATTAAATTAATATACGCTAAATTATATTACATATTGAGACTATATTTTAATTTATAAATAGTTTTTAATAACATTTTTAGTTTATAAATATTAATAAATATTTCTTACTAATGTACCGCACGATTCGTACCAAATAGATAATAATTTGAACGTACATTTTCACAATTATTTAGCCGAGAAAGAATTACCAAAATTGAATAATTTTCATCCGTTGAATTCTCAACGTCTCTAGTCACCCTTTTTCCTACTTTCCATAGTTTTAATATTTTTAAATATATTTAATTTCAATAATTATTTTGCATGTAGTATAAATTATTAAACCAATTAATTTTAACATTTAATTATTTATATATAAAAAATTATTATTAATAAATTAAATATCGATTCAACCAGTTCACCCTTGGTCTGATCAAATGGGTCCGGTTTTGTGGAGTCCTACATAGACAGTGAATCCAATTACATAAAGACGTTTGTAAAACAATTATTATCTGTTTTTATAAATTTTTTAATACCCAAAATTAGGGATAATTTTAAAATTGGTCCTATAATTTATCCACATTCTAAAAAATCATCTCAATATTGACCACTATCAAAATTGATTCTATAATTTCAAAATTTAATCAAATTTGATCCTTTTTTATCATATTGTAATTTATGTTATGGATAAAAATGATCAAATTTGATAAAATTTTGAAATTATAGGATCAATTTTGATAGTGGTTAATATCGGGATAGTTTTTTAGACGGTGACAAAATTATAGGACCAATTTTTATAGGACCAATTTTAAAATTATGCTCGAAAAAATTATGTTACTCAAGCAGTTTTGACAGTGACCTCGTCTCTTTGGGGGACTCCTAAGCACAAGAAACAAAAGAATTCCCCTTTAATTTCCTCGCTCTCCCCAAACCCTTGTAGTTTTTTCCCTCCCTCTTTCCCCCCAAAAAATTTCACTTCAAAGAGAGGAAAAAAAACCCTAGTTTCGTGGTTAATTGATTTGAGCAATTGGGGCTCGAGGAAGGAGATGGAGGATGCGGAGCAGAACAAGCTGTTTGTTGGGGGCATTTCTTGGGAGACGACGGAGGATATTCTGAACGAGCATTTCAACAGGTACGGCGTCGTTTCGGGCTCCGTGGTTGCTAAAGATCGGCTTTCCGGTCAACCCAGGGGTTTCGCTTTTGTGACCTTCTCTGAATTGTCGGCCGTTGATCGGGCCCTTCAGGACTCCCATCAGATTCTTAACAGAACGGTCGGTTTGTTGTTTATTCTACTTGTACTGCCTCTCTGTTTTCTTCTTGTTTGTGTGTGTTTGTGTGCATTTTTGGTGGTGGTGGGAGAGAGTGGTGTGGCGGCTGAGTTGTGCTTAGATTTAGGGCTTTTGAACTTGTGTGATGTTCCTGTGTTCTTTCCATACTTGTTTGTAAGTAAAGGTTTTAGCTTTTATTCTTTTGATCTTTGTGTATTTTTCGTTATTTGTGTGGTTAGTCTTTTCTGTTACTTGGTTAACGAGCTGCAGCATTTCCTTGTTTGAACTATTCTCCCTCAATTTTGGGG